CAGATTTAAACATATTACAAACACAGATTACAAAAACAGATTTAAACAGATTACAAAAACAGATTTAAACAGATTACAAAAATAGATTTAAATAGATTAGCAGCAGCAGCGAATATTTACCTCCATTTAAGCAAAATTTTCCCAACTTTCAAAGCTCAGTAGCAGCAACGATGCTAAACAACTGTGAATGAAATCAAAAAAAGGGTAGCAGCCAACTGTCAAAACAGATTTTCCTATGCATACAACTCCCTAAACATATATCTTATCCAAAAATCAGATTACAAATAGATTTTCCTATCCAAAGTCAGATTACAAACAGATTATACACACAGTACAGATTATAAAAACAGATTATAAAAACATATTACAAAAACAGATTATAAAAACAGATTACAAAAACAGATTACAAAACCAGATTTAAACATATTACAAACACAGATTACAAAAACAGATTTAAACAGATTACAAAAATAGATTTAAATAGATTAGCAGCAGCAGCGAATATTTACCTCCATTTAAGCAAAATTTTCCCAACTTTCAAAGCTCAGTAGCAGCAACGATGCTAAACAACTGTGAATGAAATCAAAAAAAGGGTAGCAGCCAACTGTCAAAACAGATTTTCCTATGCATACAACTCCCTAAACATATATCTTATCCAAAAATCAGATTACAAATAGATTTTCCTATCCAAAGTCAGATTACAAACAGATTATACACACAGTACAGATTATAAAAACAGATTATAAAAACATATTACAAAAACAGATTATAAAAACAGATTACAAAAACAGATTACAAAACCAGATTTAAACATATTACAAACACAGATTACAAAAACAGATTTAAACAGATTACAAAAATAGATTTAAATAGATTAGCAGCAGCAGCGAATATTTACCTCCATTTAAGCAAAATTTTCCCAACTTTCAAAGCTCAGTAGCAGCAACGATGCTAAACAACTGTGAATGAAATCAAAAAAAGGGTAGCAGCCAACTGTCAAAACAGATTTTCCTATGCATACAACTCCCTAATTTCATAAAACAAAAATTAATTGGTAGCAGCCCTAATTAGAACAATTTAACAGAAGAACCTAAATGCTAGCAGCCCTAATTTGTATAATGCATGATACTTACAGTTCATAATTTCTTTGTCAATTTCAAATAATCATCACAACACAGCATAACCTAATTGGTGGCAGCCCTAAATCGACAACCCTAAAGGCTAAAACCTTAACAGAAAAAATATATCATCACATCAACCTCAACCACCAAATCGACAAGCCTAATTTAAAAGAAAAAAAACCATATATTTAATTTAGAATAAACCCTAAATTCAAAGGAAGATGATGCTAGAATAAACCATAAATTTAATCACCTTTGACTGATATGAGAGAGAAACCCACAGAAGAAATCGCAGGAGAGGAAGGAATAGATGTCGATTTGGTGCCCTGCCGCTGGGAAAAAATAGAAAAATCGAGATAAGAAGAGAGAGTTAGCGGAGCAAAGAAGCGACTGAGAAAAAATGTAACAGATAAGAGAAATAGAAGCTGACCTGCCGCTGCGTGCAGGGCTGAAGGCGGCGCGGTCGAGAGAGAGAGAGAGCTGAGGCGGGTCGAGCTCGAGAGAGAGAGAGAGCTGAGGCTGAGGCAGGTGGAGAGAGAGAGCTGAGGCGGGTCGAGCTCGAGAGAGAGAGAGATCTGAGGCTGGTCGCCTGGTCGAGCTCGAGAGAGAGAGAGGTGAGGTGAGGCGCCGCTTGGTCTTAGCTTAGGTCAAAAACGAAGAGAAGACTCAGACTGAGTGAGAGAGAGAGAGACTAGCGTGTGTGTGACTTAGGTGCAAAAAAAAAAAAAATTGCGTAAGGGATCTGGTGCAAGCACTCTCACACTTTCTCTGTTTTTGGCCAATCACACGAGGCCACGTGTAAATTATATATATATATATTTAAATATTACCGGTTCGGTTCAGGTCCACCGGTTCTGAAAAAATTAGAACCGCGAGCCGAACCGTGGACCTTCGGTTCGGTTCAGGTCCAGGTTTGACTTTTTCGGTTTGGTCAAAAAACGCTCTTTTTCGGTTTGGGTTGGATTGGTTCGGTCGGTTTGATCGGTTTATCGGTTTTTATGCCCACCCCTAGATCTAGTCATAATACATGTAAATAAAATAAAATAAATTCTCAAATTACCAACAATATTCCCACACAAAACATAACACAATTGCAAGTGACATGGAATTCAACAAATATAAATTGAGACCCTTGGGGTCCACTGAATAATAAAGATTTGGTAAAGCCTGATGACTTTGTGTAGATGACTTTCTTGTTTACCAGCCAAAACTACTAGACCTAGCAATATTGAACACGACCCGGTAACACGACACGAATTCGCACGAAATTATCAGTATTTGGGTTGAGCTTAATGGGTTGGGTTGAAAACGGGTGAACCCGTTAAGCTAACGGGTTGGGTTGGGTCAATTCGCGAATATTCGCATCCACCCGTTAAGGAGGGTAATTTGGTAGTTTTGCTAAATGTGTTTTTAAAAAAATATCCGTCTCCAACTCCAACACCTTCCTCTTTTTTTTATATTCCTTTTCCATCTTTCCTCTTTCTCTCTCCGTTTACTGTCTCTCACCTCCCGCTCTCTCTTTTCTTCTTCTTCTTCTCTCCATCTCTTTTTTATTTTTCCTTTTCTTCTTCCTCATTCCGTCATTCTCCATCTCTCCTTTGTTTTCTTCTCTTCTTATTCGTCTTTTCCTCTCTGTCTTTTTTTTGGATAAATAATCTAATCTAATCTAATCAACCATTTTTTTTTCTCTTCTTGTGACCTCCCACTCTCTTCTTCTTCTTCTTCTTCTTCTTCTTTCCATCTCTTTTTTCTCCTTTCCTTCTTCCTCTTTCCGTCATTCTCCATCTCTTTTTTTTTTTTCTTCTTCACTTTTTATCTGCATCTCTCGTCTCTTCCTCTCTGTCTTCTTTTATATATAAATAATCTAATCTAATCAGCCATTTTTTTCTCTTCTTGTTTTCTTTATGTAAGTTTTCTGGATGGTCATGAAAGTTTTATGGATGGTGTTTATGAGATGGAAATTGGGAGAAAAATGAGAGAGACAATGGTTGCTGGCTATGTGTTTTTTTTCCTTTTTTTTTTTCTGGGTTTATTCTTAACGGGTTAACGGGTCGTGTCGGATATTCGCGAATAGTAACGGGTCGTGTTTGGGTCTAGTATTTGTCATCCGTTAACTTAACGGGTCGTGTTCGTGCCCGTTAACGACCCGAAACCCGCTAAAACGACCCGTTTGCCAGCTCTAAAAACTACACATTGCAAACACATATATGAAAAGTTGATGAAGAGGTGACGAAGTGTTGCAATCAAATTAAACAATGTTTGTGTAGATTTCAAAGTCACCAAAACTTTCTGCAATATTGTCATGCAGATTACCTACAACTAATATGTGAGCTAAAAATCAAGTATTCATGTGCCAATGTCAAATGCGTTTTAATGTATAAAAAAAAAAAACAAACAATTCAAAAGATAAAAATATCTCAAAGTTGAAAAAGGAAAAAAATTCTACAACATTCACAATATGAAGAAAGAAATGAATTCAAAACAAAAGGAAAGAAATTACAAGACCTTAACAAATAAAGAAGAAGATTTCGTCACTTGATTTTGTAGCTAATATGGTAGCTACTAATTTAGCAAAGATGGGATATGTTTATTCAAATCCTTCTAATTTGGTTTTGTATTTTTCTTTTTTCTGTTATACATGGAACTGGTTTTGATATCTATGGTTATAAGATCCCCCGAGGATTTTCTTTGTAAATTTGTTTCATGTTTAAAAAAAAAAAAATTAATTGGTCGCAAATCTGGTGATGCAAAATGCATTGAATCATGTATGAAACTTGAAAGGATGGATTTGTAATGTGACATGGAATATGTAATTTTGACACATTGCAACCATGCAGTGCAACATAAAAGCCTTTAATATATATACATGGACAAGCCAATGGAAGCCACCAAGTGGAATTGCAGTGCACAACTTCTTATGTAATTTGAATACTTTTGAGGCAATCCAGAAATTATCCCAACAGTCTCTTAAATTAAAATAAAATAATCAAATTGAAAATTGTTGCTCTCTTCTCTTGTGCATGTTTAAATACGAGCAAACTTTTCCAAGCAGAGCAGAGCAGAGCAGATGGTCTTGCATTGCATTGCATTGCACCAGTCCTCTGCATCACCGGCAAAACTGGGATATTTTAATTTCCAAGAATTTGAACTGACAAAGTGCAGAAAACCAGTAAGTGGTCTCATTTCAATTGAAATGCTGTATTTCTATAGCCAATTTCATTCACCACTTACATCAACCTCAGTTTCTTGAACATATATTTCAGTTATTTTTTCAAAAATTGGAGCGATCTAGCCATCAAGTTTCTTAATTTATGATCTGGGCAAGTTCCATTTCCTCTATATTTATTTGGTTTCAGGCAAGGAAATTAAAAAAAGAAATAAAATGGAAGGAGTAGAGAAAGCCAAGGGGTCTTCAACAGAAATCTACCATAGCTTGAGCAGAAGAAGAAGCAGAAGCAGGGGGGTGAGCATGGAGGATGTGTTTTTAAGCACCACGCCCTCTCGACGAAACATTCGAATGGATGAAGACGAAGAAGCTCTGATATGGGCAGCCATTGAGAAATTGCCAACATATAATCGGTTAAGAACAAGCATCATCAAGTCCTTCGTCGAAACCGATGATGATGATGCTCAAGGAAACAAGACCAACAAAGTCGTACATAAGGAAGTGAACGTTCTGAAGCTCAACATAACCGACCGTCAAACATTTATTGACACCACTTTTAAGGTTGCAGAAGAAGATAATGAGAGGTTCTTGAAAATGTTCAGAAGTAGAATTGATAAGTAAGTTCTTGTTCTGTCTCTCTTAAGTTCTTGTTCTAAACTGAATATTTTAGGTTTTGTTACAATCTTTTTAAGCAGCTAAAAGATTAGTGTCACAGTAATTTTTGCATGTTCGGGTACACCACGTGGGTTTTTGCATGTTTGGGTACACCACGTGGTGTACCATCCAATAGGCATAGAACATGGAAATATTGTTCATTTCAGCCAAATGATAGTTTTTGGTCTCTGTGGTTTGGCCGAAGTTCTACTTTGGTACGTGTAGTTTCAACTTTTTACTAGAACAACGACTTAATTTCGTAAAAAAAATTCGACATGTGTTTTCCCTTTACCCTAATAAACTTTTGCGTAAAAAGTGCATGGAACATTGTACATGGAATTAATAATTTATTTATTTGCTTATGTTGTAATTGATTTCAGGGTTGGGATCAAACTTCCCACAGTGGAAGTTAGGTTTGAGCATTTGACAGTGGAAGCCAATTGCCATGTTGGCACCAGAGCTATTCCCACCCTCCCAAATGTGACTCGGAACATCGCAGAATCAACTCTTGGTTTAATAGGGATCAAAATGGCTAAGAGAACAAATCTAACAATTCTCAAGGATGCCTCTGGCATTATCAAACCATCAAGGTAAGGTACATCATATGATAGCAGCTTTTAGGTTGCTAGGGGTTGGGTTTAAAATTCAATTTCACTAAATAGTTACTTGCTTTCATTATTCCTAGAAACTATTGGAAAAAAAAAAATGTGTGTGTACAAATTATTCATTACATGATCCTAATCAGTGCATAATTGAAGTTACTACGGGTGGTTTCAGTTTGGTTGGTAACCGAGTACCGACTGAGAGTTACCATGACATTTTGTTGTCATAATTTTCGAATTTTGGCCAATAATTTGTCATTTTGGATAATCTTTATTCATGTTTTGTTGTAGGATGACCCTTCTATTAGGCCCCCCATCTTCAGGGAAAACAACCCTTTTGCTGGCATTAGCTGGGAAGTTGGACCCAAGCTTGAAGGTCAGTCCTCAGCTCCACCGTGTTATTTCAACTAATTTATTTATCATTAGCTTGACCTGTTATACTATAATATAAAAACATTTTCAAACAATTTTTCAATCTGAGTCTTTAATTAGCCATGAGATCTGTGGAACAGGTTAGAGGAGAAATCACTTACAATGGATATAGGCTGAATGAATTTGTGCCACAGAAGACATCTGCATATATTAGCCAAAATGATGTTCATATGGGAGAATTGACAGTCAAAGAAACTCTAGACTTTTCGGCAAGGTGCCAAGGGGTTGGGACGAGATATGGTAAGTAACTGCCACTAAACCAAACCAAATCATATCATAATCCATTATTGAAGTAACTCTCTTCATTTATATGTAACTTTGGAAATGAATTTGGTAGCATTTTAACAAAAATTATGCATGGGCCATAGAACTTCTTTCTGAGCTTGCTAGAAGAGAGAAGGAGGCAGGAATATTTCCAGAGCCAGAAGTAGACCTTTTCATGAAGGTATATATTTATGCGATTTCACTAAACCTGCCTTCAATGCATTGATTTTTTAAGCTTATATATATATACATATATATCTGAATTTCTGGTTTATTTTTTCAGGCTACTTCAATGGGAGGAGTTGAGAGCAGTCTCATTACTGACTATACTCTCAGAGTAAGTAAATCCCAACAACATGAAATCACTCTTCTTTCTAATTTGTCACCAACTTTACTCACTGCTGGTTAGCCTCTTTTATTTCCTTGCACTTTGGCCTGTGACAACCATTTTTCAAACAGAAATATACTTAAACAAGGTCTTAGAAAGTCTTTTTTATTCTCAGAAACCACTGAAATGGTGAAGAAGTGTGACTTTATCTAATTGGTATAATCATTATATGTAACGTATCATTGTATTTTTTTATCAAACGAAACAGATGTTGGGGCTTGATATATGCAAGGATACCCTTGTAGGAGATCAGATGCAGAGAGGGATATCTGGTGGGCAAAGAAAACGAGTTACCACAGGTACTTGTGCTTGTTACACTTTGAATAACAACCTTAATCCTCAAATTAGGAATACTTTTTAGAATGAATTCATATTTCAAAATTACTTCAAATGCACAACAATGTTTATAATGTGTTGACAAAGTGCAATAAATATGCTCTAATATAGGTGAGATGATTGTTGGGCCTACAAAAACATTGTTCATGGATGAGATATCAACGGGTCTTGATAGCTCCACGACACATCAAATAGTTAAGTGCTTGCAGCAAATCGTACACATTACCGAGGCCACAATCTTGATGTCCCTACTCCAACCTGCTCCTGAGACGTTTGATCTCTTTGATGATATCATCCTCTTATCAGAGGGCAAGATCATCTACCAAGGGCCACGTGAGCACGTATTGGAGTTCTTTGAGAGCTGTGGATTTCGATGCCCCGAGAGAAAGGGAACTGCTGATTTCCTGCAAGAGGTAAAACTATGATCAGTCTCACTTTACTATGGTATGTAGGTTGTGATACATCTTCTAGCCCATTAAAATGCTTTGGTCCTTTGCTAGTCCAGTTACATCCCAGCAAGCCATTAGTGTGCTTTAGCCATTTCCCCTTTGTCTAAGCCAATTTTACAAACCATAACTTTGTTCAAGTTTTTCAGGTTACCTCAAGGAAAGACCAAGAGCAATATTGGGGGGACAGAAGCAAGCCATACCAATACATAACCGTCACTGAATTCGCAAACCGATTCAAGCAATTCCATGTCGGCATGTGTCTTGAGAATGAGCTCTCAATCCCTTTCAATAAGGCCCAAGGCCATGGAGCAGCCCTTGTAGTCAAAAGATATTCATTACCCAGAATGGAATTTCTGAAGGCCTCTTTTGACAAGGAATGGCTACTTATAAAGAGGAACTCTTTTGTTTACATTTTCAAGATGGTCCAAAGCATTGTAGCGGCATTTGTAGTCACGACCCTATTCTTGAGGACGCAAATGCACACTAGAAATGAAGATGATGGTGCACTATATATTGGTGCACTTCTGTATTCCATAATCCATAACATGTTCAGTGGTTATGCTGAGCTCACATTGGTCATTGCAAGACTCCCTGTATTTTACAAGCATAGAGACCTTCTTTTCCAACCTGCTTGGGCTTTCACTCTCCCATCTGTCCTACTCCGGATTTTTTAATAAATTAGCTCTGGAAAACCCACAAGCCATAATATCTGAAGAAGTAGCAGAGGAAATAGAAGCAGACCAATCAAAGGAAGAACCAAGACTTAGAAGACCCCAATCAAAGAAAGATTCATTTTCTCAATCATTAACTTCTTCTGATGGAAACAATTTAAGTAAGAAACAAAACAATGTTGGCAATTTTACTTCTGTAATGTGAACAATGTTATGCATGTTTCATATTGGACCCAAAAATGTTGTAGGAGAAATGGAAATCCAGCGGATGAGCAGTCGATCTAATGCCAATGGACTAAGTAGAAATCCTGATTCAACTCTTGAAGTACCCAATGGTGTTGCCCCTAAGAGAGGAATGGTTCTTCCTTTCACTCCCCTTGCAATGTCCTTCGATAGTGTAAATTACTTTGTGGACATGCCCCCGGTAATATTTACTGTTCCCTATTTCACTCATTTCCTTCAAGCATATTCATTCAAGTGTTTAGTTGTAACTTGTGATCATAAACTTTATTGGTGCAATTAATTACCATGGCACATAGCTTATAAATAAATGATTGATTTTAGTCCTACATCTATAGCTAACTTATAAATAAATGATTGATTTTACTTTCCCAGCTAACTTTGTTCACTATGACAGGAAATGAAGGAAGAAGGAGTAAAAGAGGACAGGCTTCAGCTACTTTGTGAAGTAACTGGTGCATTTAGGCCCGGGGTCTTGACAGCTCTAATGGGAGTCAGCGGGGCTGGGAAGACGACTTTGATGGATGTCTTAGCGGGAAGAAAGACAGGTGGCCACATTGAAGGCGATATTAGAATTTCTGGCTTCCCTAAGAAACAAGAAACTTTTGCAAGAATTTCTGGTTACTGTGAACAAAATGATATCCATTCACCGCAAGTCACTGTCAAAGAATCTTTGATTTACTCAGCTTTCCTTAGGCTCCCTAAAGAAGTCAGCAACGAGGAAAAGATGGCAAGACTTGTAATACTTTTGTGAACAATGCATAGCTCAATTATCTTAATTTAAACCTATGTTCTATTATGTTTTCAGACTTTTTTAGAAGAAGTGATGGCATTGGTCGAGCTAGACAATCTAAAGGATGCTTTAGTGGGGATTCCAGGAATTACAGGGTTGTCAACTGAACAAAGAAAGAGGTTAACAATTGCAGTCGAACTTGTTGCCAATCCCTCAATCATTTTCATGGATGAACCAACATCAGGTCTTGATGCAAGGGCAGCTGCCATTGTTATGAGGGCTGTTAGAAATACTGTGGACACCGGGAGAACAGTTGTCTGCACAATTCATCAGCCTAGCATAGATATCTTCGAGGCCTTTGATGAGCTGCTACTCGTGAAGAGAGGAGGACAAGTGATCTACTCAGGACCATTGGGCCGCAATTCTCACAAGATCATCAAATATTTTGAAGTACTTACCTGCCTAGAACTTTTCATTATCTTGATATTATATGGAAGTAAACGAGGCATTATTATCCAAGTCCATGCTCAATGACCTGTTGCAGGCAGTTCCTGGAGTGCCAAAAATTAAAGAGAGGTATAATCCAGCCACATGGATGCTAGAGGTGAGCTCAGTAGCGACCGAGTTCCGACTTGGAATTGACTTCGCACAACACTTCAAATCATCTTTTTTGCATCAGTAAGTGAAAAGAGAAAGTTACCGTAGTACTAAAAATTTGTAATGTAAAGGGTTGGCTGGCTTTGAGCTAATGTGATTTCCTATCTATGACTATAACCAGGAGAAACAAAGCTTTAATAAAGGAGTTAAGCACACCACCACCAGGAGCAAAAGACCTCTATTTTCGTACTAAGTATTCTCAGTCAACATGGGAGCAATTCAAATCTTGCTTGTGGAAGCAGTGGTGGACTTATTGGAGAAGTCCTGATTACAACCTTGTTAGGTTCTTTTTTACCTTGGTCGCTGCCCTCCTGCTTGGATCTATGTTCTGGAAGATTGGCACTAAAAGGTTTGCGACTTTGTGCTCATCTCTACTTAACAAGTTCAAACGTCAAGTGCAAAAAAAACACTTCAAGAGTTTGTTTAGACCAATTACTCAGTTATTTATCTCCATATGCAGGGAAAGCATAGCTGATCTCACCATGATTATCGGGGCAATGAATTCTGCTGTGCTTTTTATTGGAGTTAATAACTGCTCAACAGTGCAGCCAATGGTCGCAATTGAAAGAACGGTGTTCTATCGAGAAAGAGCTGCTGGGATGTACTCTGTATTACCTTACGCACTGGCACAGGTAAGTTGAGGGTTCTATGCTTATATTAACTCACATTTTGATGTATACATATATGTTATCTACCGCAGGTGTCAAGAGGCTAGTTAGTTATATAGAATTCCAATATATCCGAAAGTGTAAAACATTACTATATAGCTGAGTTTCATCCGATCAAATTCTCTATTCAATATAAGTGACTCAAATGAACCATATGACATGCAGGTCATTGTTGAAATACCGTATGTGTTTGTTCAAACCGCATATTATGTGCTGATCGTGTATGCTATGGTGAGCTTTCAATGGACAGCAGCAAAATTCTTCTGGTTCTTCTTTGTCAGCTTCTTCACATTCCTTTACTTCACGTATTACGGAATGATGACCGTCTCCATCACACCAAACCACCAAATAGCAGCCATAGTGGCATCAACTTTTTACTCATTCTTCAACCTCTTCTCGGGTTTCTTCATACCGAGACCTGTAAGTAGATATTCTTCTTCTCACAAGCACCTATGTTTGGAGTTTAAATCATTTGTAGAAGTAAGCTGACACCTCTAGTTCTTTACCCTTTGAATTTTCAGAAAATACCCAAATGGTGGATTTGGTACTACTGGATATGCCCGGTTTCATGGACTGTGTATGGGTTGATTGTGTCGCAGTATGGTGATGTGGAGGACACCATTAAAGCACCTGGGATTTCACCTGACCCCTCTGTGAAATGGTATGTAGAAAACCATTTTGGATATGATCCAAATTTCATGGGATCTGTGGCAGGGGTTCTTGTTGGCTTCACAGTTTTCTTTGCCTTCATGTTTGCTTTCTGCTTAAGGGCCCTCAACTTCCAAATTAGATAGAGGAAGTTCCTTGGTATACACCCCAAGTTATACATATTACAAAAAGTTCGACATGTAAGTATAGGTAGTAAGAATGTAAGGAGGCAGTTTTATAAGCCTTGAATTGTTTTCCCTTAGAGCACTTCCACCCATGGTGAGTAAGGGCAGACACTATTCATGTGCATAGTGACCTCCCTACCCTTTTTTATTTTGTTTTTCCACCCATTGTCATGGCAAGAAAAAGCAAGCACTATTCACATGAGATATGATGAGAGATTTGTATGGAGTTTTGGTGTGGAAAGTGAATAACATGACTAGGTATTTATAAAATAAAAAATTCTGAATTTTTTTGTATTTTATATATATACATATATATTCTATTTTTTTATATTTAAATTGGTTGCTGATGTCACGCTGATATCAGTATGAGATCAACAAACCCAGACAGCAGCTCAGGCAAATCTTGCATGGGCTTGCTTAGATAAATGGGGCCCATTTTTTTTCAAGCTGCCTTTCATTGTTGGGGAGCTTAAACCCAGTCTAGGCTCTCTTTTGCCCTGGCAAAACTGACCCGCTGGAATTGCTCTTAGGAAATTCAATGACATGCAACTTTTTAAAGATGATAATGCTTCTTACTGATGATAATTACTATCAAATAGGAATCTTTTCTGAAGTTACAATACTTGCTGCCTTTTTAACAGTAATTAGTTTTTTTTTCCCTTACTTGCTGAGGTTAGTAAACTAAAAATTACTGTTTTTTTTGGAGTAATCATTTTATTACAATTACCAATAAAATTCATGTTCAATCCCAAAAATGAAGTAAGCGCTCATTGGGCCATTTGCATCTTATCTAATTTACAAAGTAAGTGTTATACACAACCCAACATTTTCACCAAGTTTGGTTTACCAAATTACTGCGCGCCGTAAATAAATTTCAGCAAGTTTTGTTCGCCAAATGATGTGTCAGTCTGTCATTAATTTATGGGCTTTTCATAAATAGACCCATTATGATATGAAATTTTATAATTAAAAAAACCTTAAGAGAGTCTATTTGGAGAAAAATTAACCTCAATTAGCCACTTGTCATTTTCTAATTGGTTCACAGTGTTTTGCAAATTTTTTCACTTGAAAGTACAACATGGAGTTTTCTAAAGAATTGGACTTGGAAGGTTTTTTTATTATTTTATATAAAATACCATGTTAGAATGGGCTTTTTTTGTAAATACGGGCCCATTGTGAACATCATTTATTTTTAACAAGAAAGACCATGACATGTGTACATACACATAATTTGGTGAATGGATTCGACAAAAAAAATTGGTGCCTCTAGTCTTATTGCATATGAAGTAAGTGGATAGCAATTGTGATTTTTTTCATTATCGCTATCTTGAGGAGTATGCAAAAACAAACCAACACTAAAAAAAAATCAGCAATAGTCACTTTTTTTTCAGTGACTTTTGAAAGTATTAGTCCCCTTTATTGGTGACTAAAGGCTTTAGTAACCATGCAGTTACAAATTTTGAGTTGGTGAAATTTGTGGGGGTTACTATTAGCCTTTGTCATCATTAATAAAGAAGGTGACAAACAATATGTTGACTTTTCAACTACCTTTACACTTATATTTTATTATTATTTTCATCTTTAATTAGTTTAATAATTTTCTGAATTATATATGTTTTAAATAATTACAATTTCCATTTGATATACTTTAATGGCATAATAACAGTAATTCCGTTTTTTCTGATAAGGTAATAATAATAATTATTTGGTAATGCACTTCATGTGTAAAAAAGGCCTCTAATATTATTATTTAATTAAATATAAATATTCAATTGATACATTATTGTAATTAAGTAGTACAATATTTTCCTAATAAATAAAAAATTAGTACAATCCTCTACAAAAACAATAATACTATTTTCCTAAGAAGACCTATAGCTAGTACTTTCTAATCCAAACACTCCTCTGATCCGAACATACAAATGAATGATGCAACTGAAGTGTCCTCCATCCTTGCAATTGAAGTGTACTCCGTCCCTGTAAGTAAATCGAAATGACAAAGAAAGAAAGAAAGATGAGATTATAAACAAAAAAAAAAATACAAATGAGGCTAGCACTTCCACTGAATTCCGAGTCCTTATGAGATGCAAGTTTCCAAGTCCTTAGCCCTATGAAAATCTGAAAACAGTCCCAAATACTAGAAGTTAAGCTATTATATGTATATATATCCAAGTTCCACCGCCCCTACAGAACTTGATCTTCCTGCATCACAGAATAACAAAGAATATATTAATATATAAAAAAGTTGAAAAAAAAGCTTATGCAGAAAACAAAATACAAGTGTTGGCACTAAAACTGAACAGATAGAGATGAGTGCAACTTACAAGAGATGTGGACGATCTAGCAGATCGATTGAGTGATAGACGGAGATTCTCCCTGTCCTTGGATGCTGATCCTGAAGGGAAGATAAGCGAAGCTCGTGAGGTCTATGGAACCGGTGTGGAACCAGCCTAAGACCCTCCGATGCTCAAGTAAGATTGTTTATAAGAGCTCCTGCTGTTGACCATATAAAAGTATAAAAGTCAAGCTGAAAAGTCTTACCCCTGTATTGTAGTGAAGGGGCTTATTTATAGAAGGCATCTTGTGTGCTCTTAGTACTCATTTTCGATGTGGGACTCGTGGGAGGGCCCTATGAGGTTGACACGAGTCCTTAGATATTTTAGGCGGGTGCTTCGAGGTTGATTCTGCAGAATCGGTAGGGAATACCGATTGTAGGCTGTGTTGGGCTTGTGATGATCTTTTGCTGCTTTGAGACAATATCATCAGTAGCCGATGCTAATTGTTCGGAGCCTTGGGCATTTGGGGAGAGTAAGTGATCCACGTGTCGTTGGATGAGTGGAGGGTCAGATATGGTACAAACAGTAGTCCCCCAAGTTACCAATTGAGGAGCGATTTCTCGGTTGGGGACTTGAATATGTCTTCGGCATTCTGACCCGAACTCAATAGAATCGTTGTTGCCGATGGTGGCATGTAGTCCCCCAAGTGCCCGAGCGAGTGAGCTTGGATAAGAGACGGCATGATGCGTCGATTGTTATAGGGGGTGAGTGAAAACTCATCAATGTGAACCTGCCGTTCGGCACGAGAAGTGAGTGAGAACTCATCAATGTGCGCCCGCCGTTCGGCACGAGAGGTGAGTGAAAACTCATCAATGTGCGCCTGCCGTTGGTTGGTGGAGTTGTGCTCAAAGGTGGCTAGATCTGCCACGTTCGGGAAGGTGAAGCGTCTCTGAGGATTAGAAACGTGTCAACTGACAACGTTTGGTCTCCCCCATGCATGCGTGACGGCACGGCTGCGAAGAGTCGCGGCGTTTCGTATCCCGATGCGTCGTTTCGCTTCCCGATGCTAAATCGGCTTTATAAATGTGAGGAGGAGACGAGAGTTCAAATACTTGGAAATTTCTGAGAGCAAAGAGAGCTTGTGAGAGGCGATTTCCGGCAACCGTGCGAAGGCGGAGCAGGCGATTTCCGGCGAGGTTGAACAAGGCGGAGGCGATTTCCGGCGAGTTTGAGCCACCGTGCAAACAAGGTATGTTGCCGTGTTTTCATATTTCCGTGGATCAAAGTGTGGAATTCCATGAATTTTGTTTGAACAATGTATGAACGAGCATGAACACGCATGAACACGCGTGAACATAGTGTTTTTAGGAGGTAGAATAGGATTTTGATTCTAGCATAGCCCTTAGTGTCCCTTCGTGTGTTGTTTGTAGATGTCAGATACCGAATCCGAGCGTAGGCGTAGTCCGAGGGCATTCGAGGATGAGTCGTCCTCGGGGAG